TTCCTTCCTTCCTTCCTTCCTTCCTTCCTTCCTTCCTTCCTTCCTTCCTTCCTTCCTTCCTTCCTTCCTTCCTTCTCATTGTTTAGCATTCACAGGGAACATCCTGCTTCTAGATTGGAAAATAGGTATTTACTCAACCATGTACAGTGAGATAGAATTGCTTTTAGGTCTTTTCGTAACTAAAAGCGTTGGTTTTAATCTTTTCAAACATTGGCTTCACATATTGCCTTAAACGTTAGTTTGTTTTAACTGTGGTTGGATTGAACAAGCTGTGGAGGCCTGGTGCACACATAATGCTGTGTCTTAAACCATGGTTTCTGTAGAATCATAAGTTGGAAGGGTCGGTTCAGGTCATACGCTCCATCCCTCTTCTCAGTCCAGGAATCGAAAAGTCTACTCTCTGTGAACACATCCAGTGAAGGCAGCCACCACCTTTCTGAGTCACTAGTTCCAGCATCAAACTATACCCACAATGGTTAGATTTCACAGTGTGCTAAACTGAAACTAAAGAAATTGCACATTGGCTAGGTTTGCACATCAGTCTCTAGTTCTGGCTTAGCGTGTTTTGCAACCCATCCCTGGTGGTTTCGCCTGTGGTATGAACTCAGCCAGTGGTTGCTGATGCAAAGACCAGGCTTAAGGAAAATGTTCTCTGAGTCCCACATATGGAACAGGTTTAGGGCTGCCCATGAAATTTACTCCCACTATGTTATCAATAAAGATACGAGTTAATTGCAAATTAATGGGAAGCCTGAAGAGTTATGTTTGTATCCAGAAGCAGTTTCTCTTTCAGCTCCTCATAGGATGCTAAGCCAGACTATGAACTAAAAAATATACAAAAATGTACATTTCAAAAAGTCAGGGTTAATCATCAGCCTTTATACAGACCAGCACCAAATGGCAATATCCAGTTACCGTTATCAGTTGTCCAGAAACCCACATGCCTGAGTTGTTTTTCCCCCCAGCCCACGTGATGCTGCAGATAACACACTATGACCGTTTGGAGAGTGCGCACAAAAACTTGGAAAATACCCAACTAACTCTTTTTTTTTTTTAATCGGTGATGGACATGTGGCATCCCCCCCCCCCCCAGTTTGAGTTAAGTGGTAATAGATGCACTTCATTTCAGTGGCCCGAGAAATAGCTGTTCTGTTGCGAAAGGTTGACTTTTGAATGCTGTTTTATAGCACCTGTTCCCAATGTGCTTACCATCTAATTTTTCTGGCTTGTATTTCAAAGGCTGTATAACACCACTCCATTGCAAAGGAGAGAAGGTGGGGGGACTGGGGAGGAGGGTCAACCAGTTAGAAGGGGATGCACTAGCCTAAAGGCCAGTGAATCCCTTGCCTTGTTGTGGAAAAGGAACCAGTTAGACTTCTTGATCGTTTCCCCAATCTGAGCGTGCTCCAGATGAGAAGACTTCAGTTCCCAGAATTCTCAGGAGCCGCTGATTGGAGGATTCTGGGAGTTGTCTAGCTGGAGGTTGTCCTTCAGTTGCCACAATTCTCATCTGAAGAATTCTGACACTTGAAATCTAGATATCGGGAAAATCCTTGGAAGTTGGGAAGTTGGGAAGATGGTATACCATCTTCAGGAAAATAGCCCATTCATTATAGGCTTATGTCTATGGTTATTAGTATTTTTTAATTACATATTTCACTTTCAACATCAGCTTTTTAGGCATAGAGTGCTCATGGGGGCTTGTACTAATAGGCATTTTTTAAAAACAATAAAATCTAATCAGCATTTTCTCTTGCCTGTTCATGCCCCCTGCAGGAGAAGATGACATTCTCCACTGGAAAACAGGAAACGAGAGAAAATGGATTTGGTGTTTTTGTAAATAGAGTATAGTTCTAAGAGGCTGATGGCTAGCCACTTGACATCCCTGGTTCATGTCAAATCTAGACAATCCCCTGATTCATGCATTGGGCTAAACCATGGTCTGCTTAACCCTATTCTTTTGAGTTAAACCATTGTTGGCTCAGTTCACACAATATGAGGATGAAGACAAAGCTCGTCTCCAGCTGTAAACTAGAAGTATGAGAAGGCAGTGCAGATCTTTTCTGTAACCCTGCCAAGAAAACTAGATGGGCTTTGAGGAAATCACCAGGTGTTGAGCTCAGCTGGAAGGCAATGTTGTCTACTTTATCTTGAGTGGATAAGAGTGCCTGCGGTTTTAATAGCAATATAGAAACTCTTTGCATGCCAGCAGTGTCGTAAACCAAGGGTGGATGAAGGATAAGAAGGCCTTTCTCATCTCATTTCAACCTTAGGGATTGGGAGTGAGTCATGTCCTTCTTTGAGATGGTACAGATGCTGTTTCTGTTGTAGGTGGGGAGACTTCTGCAGCAACTGGCTATGATTGGTTCTGAAGAAGGAGACCCCCGCACCAAGGCCAACCTGGGTAAATTCGACAAGGTAAAAGTCAAGGCTGTCCTTTAAACTTCCATCTTCAAGCCATTGATGTTGACGTTTTCCCCTCCTGAGTAGTCATGAAAGGGAGGCAAGGATGGGGTTTAGCTATATTGTTAGACAGGGCCTTTCTTGCAGAATCCACAGACAGCAAGAACCCCATTTAGAGTCATCAAAACAAGAATGCTTTCTTGCATTTCAGGAGCAAGTTTAAGTGTTTTGGGAAATCGAAAAAAGTTTAAAAAATGGTAATCCAGTTCAAGAAGCAGTGACAGTATTCATGCATTACACTAAATCATGGTTGGTCTGTGGAATAAACCATAATTGGTTAAGTTTGCATAACATTCTAAAGGAAGTATGAACAAACCATGCGTGAACAAATCTTTGATTACCAATGGTTTGTTCACACAACAAAACCCAATTAAGCCACTAAGGCTTAGTGTGTTGTGTTGAAACAGGCTGCGTGAGTAAAACAGCAACAAAGAGAGATGTTGCTAAAATTTCTGAGCAACGTGGCTTATGTACCCCCCTTTTCCCTTGCAGGGCTGCGTGGCTTCATTCCTGGATGTTGTGATCGGTGGGCGGGCTGTGGAAACCCCTCCAATGTCTTCAGTTAATCTTCTGGAAGGGCTGAGTAGAACTGTGGTTTATATGACCTACAGCCAACTTACTACACTGGTAAGTGCCCAGAGTCAAAGACGGTCATGTTCTGGTTGTTATCTGGCTTCTGCCTTTCTTTCTTTCTTTCTTTCTTTCTTTCTTTCTTTCTTTCTTTCTTTCTTTCTTTCTTTCTTTCTTTCTTTCTTTCTTTCTTCATTCCTTCATTCCTTCATTCCTTCATTCCTTCATTCCTTCATTCCTTCATTCCTTCATTCAACGTCCTTCCTTTTCAGGTTAGCTTTATGCGGAACGTCATGTCTGGCGATCAGCTAAAGGAAGATCGGGTGGCTCTTGAAAACTTGCTATTAAATTTACCCCAGAACAAGCCGGGGAAAAGCGGGAGTCTGGAGCTGACGCCTTACAACACCCCACAGCTCTCACCTGCAACTACTCCAGCCAGCAAAAAAACCCGTCTGGCCATAGGTGAGAATGAGAATAGCTGGTGGGGCGGGCAAAATCTTTATGCCACTGATTTCCCAGCTTAATTTTCAGATGCTTCTGTTGCTCCTTTGTGCTAGGACAACATCTGTTTTCAGATGTTCTGCGTTTTTTCCAACTTGATTTGCACCCTGGTCTGTCCCTCGTTCAGACTTTAGAAGAACTAGATCTCTCTGGGCTTTAAAAACTGGCACGCACCTTGCTTTATTACCAGATGTGAGATGGGGAATGTACATAATATTTCCCCTAGAATAAAGACATATGGATAGGGCAGCTGCTCAGAAAAACTTTTCACTCTCAAACGTGGCAAACATCCCATTCTTAAATGATGGGAGAGTCAGTGATTCTGAGTGCAAGGCTGTGCAAGGGGAAGAAGTCAGCGATAAAAGGCCAGCAATGCAGATAGTGCCAATTTCAATTCCCGCATCTGAAGAAACCACCTGAAACTTGAATGCAAAAATGTTTAATTATGTAACTGCCATGTTTGGCTAATAATGCAAGAAAACCAAGGATGATCAGAGGACTTGTGACTATTAGAAAACTAATTTGGCAACCCTTCTGGCTTCTAAGGTTGCTTTAGGCAACTGCTACAAAAACTGAAACTTTGATTTAACAGAGCATTGAGAGGTAGGGGGAAGGTGGCGTTTGTTAGTCCTGAATGTCTGCTAAATCAGAAAATACATGATTTGCCTCTGTTGACATCACTTGAGAAGTAGTGTCATAAGGGAAATGATTTTGATGTCATGTATGTTTGACATAAATTTAACAGTCTTGTTTGGGTTAGTCTGGCCAAAATGGAATTGTCCTTAATTTTTGGGGAGGGAGGACATCTATCCAGATGGAGTTTGTATGCACTGCATCCAAAGTCTGCTAAATGAGGGTCCGTTAAATCACTGCATTGACAAACATGTCTTTCCAGTCCCGAAGGTATAGTAATTCCCCTTAAAATCAGCTTGGAGTTCTGTGCCCAGCATGTTCAGTGAATCTATTAGCACTAAAAATGAGAAAGCAAGAATACCCAGATTTCAAGGAATTTTCAGTTAATTCCTGGCTGCGCGTTGTTCCATGCTGTTGACATATGTTTGTAATTTACAACTGATCTGTGTTTTTAATTCCACCGACTTGTCTTTTGTTTCTCTTTAACGCGGCCAATTCAGGACAACAATTGGCTACCATCAGTGCCTGGGATACGTCTGCTACCAACCTCACAGCTCATATAAATCTCGTAACCCCTTTTGGTGGGTAGTAGAACTCTTTGCTTCTTCCTCTTTATTAGGGTATCTGCAAAGCTGATTTTTTTCCACGCCGGCTTGCTGCTCTGAGCACCTGTTAAGAAGCAGCTTTGGTTGGACAGCCTTTTTCTTAATCTTCCCCCTTTTATTTCTTTTGGAGATGCTGTGTGATAAGCTTTGGGTCAGACTCTGACTTTGGAATTGCTGCAGTGGGAAACGGATTGCGTAGGGGAAGGAGCCTGGATCAGAATTTGGGGCCTGTAGTCAAAAATCCTGAATGGGCTGAGAAAAAGAGACTCTGGAGCTGGCGTCTGCAGGGATCCCGCAGGTGGTTCCTAACGTAGGCCCCAAAATAAAACGGGTACCGTCTCACCAGAGCACAAAGTCTCGTGAGATTTAAAGGGTTCGCATTTGAAATCCTGTGAAACGTTCTCATCCTTGTGTGCAGACTTAGGGGATTTCAGGTGGAAAAACCCAAATCATGCGAGACTGGATGATCTTCTGGAATTTAGGCCCTTTATGTTTTAAAAATAAATTCTGATTTTGTCCTAGGGTCTTGGGGATGCTGTTTGTCATGGGGCTGTGGGGCTGACCCCTGGCTTAAGAGCCCCCAAAGTTTTCCGGGGTGAAGCAAGGGCCCCTATAATGGAAAAGGTTGGGAACCTGTGACATTCATCCACCGTCCAGAGATGCTTAAACCATCTCCCATCAAGTGATCCCCACCCACTTTCCCTTTCCAAGCACAAGTTTCTCAGTCTTCTTAGCATAAGAAAATCCATGGATGCCAAACTCACTTGGTCCTGGCACGTGGGTGTTGCTCTCTTTCCAGCACACTATGTGTTTTCCTGCATGAAGGAGGAAAAATGTTTCGAACGTTGGAAAATTCGGGTCCTTTTGCCATGACTGGCCACCCACTTGACAAGTGAATAGAGTCAGCAAACTGCGGGGGTCCATTTTGTTTTTCCTGGTTTGTACCATTTCACACTGCCAAGGGAGGGGTTATTTATTTGACCCTACAAAAATGAACCCTTGTACCTAAAAAAGGTAACATGTAAGGGTGGAAGAGTGTAACCTAATCATACAGGTATGTTACCTGTCCACAAGCAAGCTTTTCTTCCTCCCCCACGTGAGATGCAACTCTTTGCAAGTTCAAATGGTCCATTCCAGGAACAGTAGTAAGAATTCTCTTGCTTTGTGTAAGCTAGTCTTTGGCTGCTCCAGCTTGTAAATATTGGGTAGTAACTCTTTCTGGAAGTCCAGCCAGAATGTCTCGCGCTTAAATTTCTGCACTGTGTTTTGCTCTCTTGGTGTTTTTAGAAGTCGGCTGAGTGTGCGTGCTTACGCGCAAAGCTTTTCGCCTTCTATTCCAGTCTTGCTTATCTGCATCATAAACAGTGTTCTTTAAACAAAGAAAATAACCATTGAGATCATTTCCAAAGCTTCAGACTTGCATTTAAAATCTCAGGACTTTGCATTTAAATCCTGCCCAGAAACCTGAATATTTTGGGACAGCTGTAAGGTCCAAATGTGAGGCTCCCCCCTTTTTTCTCATAAATGTTTTATTTACTTATATGTTGTTATTGTATTTATTTTGTTGAATTTGTTATGGCCATCCCCTCCAACGCTCTGTCTGCTATGGTCCAGAGAGGAGTCAGACAGTTATGAAGGTCTGTTGGCAGCTTGGTTGTTTAATTTTATCTGTTTCAATCTGTTTAATCTCCAAAAGGTTCTTCCCTGGCTTACAGTCCATCCTAAACGAACAATTAAATCATCTGCCCAATTTACGGCATAGCATAAATCTCAAAAAGCTGTAGAAACCTGCAGCATCAATAGCATTCAAAATAATCTTCCCCCCACTCCAAGGCTGATTAAAATGTTAAGTCAGAATGACCCACAGAATGGCTGGATTCACACATCCTTTTAAGCCATCATGAGATCTGCTTGATTTTGTCTTAGGAAGTTGGGTGAACCTGCTTCCCTGGTTTCTAAACCACGGTTTGTGGTACAACGTATCTCAACCAATTGTGGTCAAACCAAGAAACCTGGGGTCACATTAACCGTAACTTAGTGCTATGTGTGAACTCAGACAGCCTCTTCTTTAAAAGGGTCTTAAGGAGAAGATTTAGGAGACAGTTCAGATTCTAGGATTTTTCTGTTTCTTAAATCACGCTAAGCTTACAGTAGGGGATTCACTGCCAAGCGGTAGTAAAAGGTTAGCCCCGATTTCAGCAGTTGCCATTGGATTTCAAAGCTTTGTGCAATGTTGAAATCTGACATGATTTCACAACGACTGCAGCCCGGTTGCACTGTGGTGCAACTTCAGTGTAGCTCCAGCCAGTACGAATCTCCCAGTTTCCTGTTGATCTGCTTCCACATGTGTATGCATTACGTTTTATCTTCTGCTGCCATCTTCATCTTAAATTGTATGCGTGCTCCTAAACCTTCAACAAATGAACTTTATACATCTGAACCTACGGTTGTTCCAGCCACTCGCAGCAGGAGCCGTTCCAACATTCAGATGGACCAACACCCAGATTGCGAGGGGTTTTCCCAAGAGACAATACAAGAAATGCAACCAGAAGAAGTTTTGGTCATTTCTCTCGGGACAGGCCCTCAAATCACACCTGGAATGATGTCAGAAAATGAGGTACGTGAGCAGTGTACAAGCAGTTCAGCCCCGAATGGTGCATTTTTTTTTCTCTTTCTGAAGGCCTGTTTTGGGGAACAACGGATCAAACATTTCAGAGCGATGTGTGTTTTTTCCAGAAGTGGCTTATTTGGCCACATAATATCATTGGCCGTGTTCCCTGCTGCTTCCAGGGAGGCACAGAAGTTCCCCGCTACTTCCAGGGAGTGCAGAAAGAGAAAACCCAGCCCCTGGGCCAAAGATAATGCTTCTCAAGGGCCAGTTGGGAGAGGAATGTGGATTTTTATGCGTCTCACCCCTCCGCCTTTGTGTGTGCTACCTTCCCAGGTTTTAAACATGCAGCTGGCTGATGGGGGGCAAGGAGATGTTCCTGTCGATGAATCCAAACTCCACGGTAAACCTGATAAAACCCTGCGGTTTTCCCTCTGCAGTGATAATCTGGAAGGAATATCTGAAGGTGAAGGCCTACTTTTGTACCTTGTCCGTCAGGCAGCGTTTAAACGGAGCTTCTGTGCATTGCTATCTGCGCCGCTGTTGCAAAACTCTGATATCAGCTCGTCCCCTTGGCCCAGGCGTGTTGAACGCCCGATTCTGGTTTGCGCGTTTGGCGCTTTTCCTAACAGTTTCTGTTCTGCCCCGGCTTCCTTTTGTTGCATTTACTGGGTGTCTCTTTTGCTGGCGGGGGCCACCCTAACCGGCGTGTTCTATTTTCCAACAGGCCCTTCAAATCGCTCTAATTCTGTATCCTCGCTGGATCTGGAAGGGGAATCTGTTTCGGAATCGGGGGCCGGACCATCAGGAAGCAACGGGGTTGAAGCCTTGCAACTTCTGGAGCGTGAGCAAGGTCAGAAGCGTCATCCAGCAAAAATAGCCCTCGGAGGATCTTTATTTTACAAAGCTTCATTTTGTTTTGCTGGTTTTTATTTATTTCTTTTTAATCCCTTGGGCTTCTCAAATGCCCAGAAATGCCAATTTTTTGCTAGGCACATGCAGATACCCAAAGTCAGAAACATACGGAAAAGTCCGTGTTAAAAACAAGTCCACTGCCAAGGTGAAAAACCAGGCTTAGCAGTTGTAATTATAGCCCCCCAAATAAAGAAGCAAGAAACATTTCGATTCTTTGATACACTGAAAGGGTTTTTATAAAGTTTGGGAAAAGGTAAGGGGTGGGAAGGCTGATCGGAAAAGGTGCTTTTTGGGGAGGGAACTCTCAGAGACACGTTTGAGGGTTTGGGGTACATGGTTATAGAAGCTGGCCCTTCCTCAGATAAACTGGCCCCCAGCTTCTTATCCTTGGTCCAAGATTGGAATTGTCCTGGGTAGTCAGCACTGACAACATGGGGTTCCATCAACCCATCCCTGCTTATCCTTTTGATTTATATCCTACTTTTTTTGGGGGGGTACAATTCAGCGCGGAGTAGATAATGTCTCCTCCTTCTCTTTTCCCCATGACAACAACCCTTGAGGGAGAGTGACTTGCTAATGGTCACCCAACCGCCTTCTGTGCCTAAGGGAGGACTAGAACTCACCCTCTCCTGGCTTCTGGTCCAGCCCCTTAACCCCTACACCAAACTGGCCCTCTTGTCACTTTCCAGCACTTCCACTTATAACTCCCAGGACTTAAAATAAAAGAAAGCTTTTCATTCAGACTGCCCTCTTTTGCAAATAGCCACCACCCAGGACAATCTGGATGATAAGCTGCGTAAATTTGAGATTCGTGACATGATGGGGTTGACGGAGGATCGGGACATCTCGGAAACCGTGAGCGAGACCTGGAGCACGGACGTTCTGGGAAGTGACTTCGACCCAAATATCGATGAAGACCGTTTGCAGGAGATCACAGGTAACGTGTATCCTAGAGGGGGTTGAGCAAGGAGCTGCCTGCTCTGTCTTTGGAGGCACCTTTGAAACAAATGGTGTTAATCCTTACTGAGATTTTGGATGTCCTTGTACCTCCAGCAGTACACCTAAACCTTTTTAGCATCATGCTTCTTCCTTTCCTTCCTGGGCACAATTTATTAATCACTTCCTTGATTTCTCTCATTGGCCCCCATAGATCTCCTAGCAGGGCTTATGGTAGAAAATGATAAAAGCTAAAACAGTCTCTACGAAAACCACAGTGGCATTCTAGCAAAGGTCAAAGCCATGCTATATTGAATTGCTTCACAAGCAACACTAAACCAGGGTCTGTTCAGCTTATGTATGGCTTGAATGTCTGAGCGCTACCCAGGAGTAAACACTGGCCTGCTATAGAAGGTTGCACACTCTTTGTGAGCAAGGAACTCTTACTGTCCCTCGGTGAATTCCATGAGATGTCACCAAGGTTGATGGCACAGGAAAAACAAGTCATTGATTACAACATCTATAAAGCGGGATTTTTCTTAAGACCAGGAGGGGAGAGATACCTCTTGGTCTTTGACTTGTACATGGTGGCTTCTGTCCCTCAGGAGCTGCAGCAGAAAATGTGCTGGGCAGTCTGCTGTGTTTGCCTGGGTCTGGCTCAGTGCTCTTTGATCCCTGCACGGGCTCCACCATCTCCGAAACCACGAGCGAAGCTTGGAGCGTTGAAGTCCTGCCAAGCGACTCAGGTGAAGAATCCTCAATCGGTAATATTTTTCTAACATGCAGGGGCTGGAGTGATTGAATGACTGGGAGTACGCATCTCCAAGAAGCCTGTGTTTCACCCTTCGTCACTTTCCATAGCCCATAACGGTTCCTTCTTGCTACTTTGAAAGCTCTCCGTGGCCTTGGTGACCTTACCCATCTGTTTTTGGCCCCTCGATTCACAGGGACCTCTTGCCTGTGACCTTCCTTTCATCAGCTTGGCCTTCCTGCAGTTCACACGCTCCATGGAGTCTCCCTTGGGCTGGGGTGTCAGCGTCCCCTCAGGGTTTTAACTCTGGAGAGCCACATTTCCCTGTCTCCATCTTTCTCTCCTCTTTTAACAATTTCCCTATTGCCATTTTAGAGAGGGGGGGAAAAAGGGGTTATGCAAAGAGAGGATGGATGGCCCCACCCACCCCAAGGAGGACGTGGCCCTGGAGGGAGGAAAGGTGGTTCAGTCTGCCCTACATGGCTTCCCACCCATAGGGAGGGATTCCAGGGTGGCATGGAATTCCAGGGAGGAATTCGTGGAATTTCTGGGTGGGTTCCGTATGGATGCAATACGGGGAGGGCGAGTTTGGAAACAGCTGCTAGATGGCCTGTTGGGATGGCGAATTGTATTGTGGATCTGGATCCCTCCTTCTCCCCTTTAGAGGCTCCAGACCTGAAGCAGGAAGAAAGATTGCAAGAATTAGAGAGCTGCTCGGGCGTAGGGAGTGCCTCCGATGATACTGATGTGAGGGAAGTCAGTTCCCGGCCCAGCACCCCTGGCCTCAGTGTGGTATCAGGTGAGCCTTGGAAGGAAGCCCCCGAAGAATGGAAGATTCCTTAGCAGGGGTTCAAATTGTCCATTAAGCCCAGAGTGCTTTATTTTTAGGGGAAGCAGCAAAGCAAAAACATACTTGGGTATTTGGAACCAGATCTGGTACCTTATGCTGAGTAGGCTAGATTAGCCTTATCTAGTTTGCATGGAGAATTCTGGGAGAGTTCAACTCCCAGAATTCTCAGCAACGGCTGTGCTGGCTGTGGGAGTTGAAGTCCATACACTAGAGGCCTCCCCAGCTCCCAGAATGCTATGCCTTGGTTATGTGACTTGGAATGGTGGGAATTGAAGTCCACAGGCCTAGAGGGTGTCCTTCAACTCCCGCCATCCTCAGCCATGGCCATGCTGGTAGGGGGAATTCTGGGAATTTACGTCATGCCTCTGGAAGATCTGTGACTAAGCCAGCAGGGTAGGCATTTGCAGATGGCTTCCAGATACTTTGTGCTTCAGCAGTTTCTCGCTCACGAGATCTTGGTGTTGCCCTCCGAAGGTATAAGCGCAACTTCTGAAGACATCCCCAACAAGATAGAGGACCTCCGATCCGAGTGCAGCTCCGACTTTGGCGGGAAAGATTCAGTCACCAGCCCTGACATGGACGAAACTGTGCACGGTAAGAGAATCAGCAGGCCCAAAATATGGGAGACGTCAGCCCCGACCCTCTACCAGGGGTAGCTAGGTGGCTTCTCTGACTAGGAAAACCGAAGAATTTTGCCCGTGACTTTCCAGTCTGTTTGCAGAGGTTTTCCCAGCTCATGCTGACCCCTTCCTTTGTATTTCAGGTGCCAGCCACTTGACCTCTCCCCATTCTCAGGCAGACTCCCTTCTGGCCATGTTTGACCCCTTGGCTTCTCACGAAGGTAAGGTCTTCCAAATGGGAAGCACTTGCGAGCTGCTGGGCCTCCCTCTGCCCTTCGGGTGAAGGGGAAGAGGAGTTGCGACCTTCCTCTACCGATGGTATTTTCCCCTGCAGTGGTGAGGCCGAAAGTGCACTACGCCAGGCCTTCTCACCCTCCGCCAGATCCTCCGATCTTGGAAGGGACCCTGGGCGGCAGCGATGCCAGGCTGCCCAGCTTCACCTCCCACACGGCCATCCTTTTTGACTCGGAGGCGTTCAAGCAGCGGTACTCTTACCCCGAAAGACTCGTGCGGAGCAGAAGCTCCGATATCGTGTCGTCGGCACGGAGGCCCATGAGCGATCCTGGCTGGAACAGGCGAGCGGGAACCGAGGACCGGGAACTTTCGGGGCCCGGAAGCAACATCGGTGGGGTGACGTTGATTGCCGCACCTCAGTCCTCATCCTCATCTCCAAGCAAAGATTCCTGTAGGGGAGAGGTAGGAATATGCCCCTCGATTCTTCCAGCGGTTTTCTTGAGTTAGCCATAATTAAATATTACATAATGGCTGTGTAAACTATTCCTTCTGTGGAGTTCTTGGGGCTCTGTGAGCTGGGTTGTTTGCTTGCTAGGTTTGGGACTGTATATAAACAGGCAGCAAACCCCACCCTCCCTTGCACTGATGATGTTACCTAGTTGGGTAATGCAACGTCTGCAAGCCAACAGCCAAGCTCAGGGAGCACCAAGGACTCCATGGTTCAATCCTGAGCTACGTATATTCTCTTCTATTGGAGTATTTCTTCTATTTCTGCAAATTTGGAAGCGGGGCGCGTCAGGGGAGTCCTTTGAATAACGTCTGCAAGGATAGAGGTATTCTTGTAGGAGTAGAAAAGAACCAGAAAATGTCCTGTTGGCTATAAAATGAGCTCTCTCCTCCCTCCCTCCCTCCCTCTCTCTGTCCCAGCTTTCTGACTGTATGCAAGTATGTCTGAATTTCTTGGCAATGTATAACTTGGTCCCTACCTCTAGTTTTCACGATCAGCCACAGGAAAATAACTTTTGCCGAATCTGAATGGGCAGGCCTGCTTCTGTTGTGAACTGTTGTCAGGGATCCGTTGAATTCCTTATTGCAGATTTCTACTCTTGGAACTCTGCAGATCGTTCAAGGGCAGACGTACACCCAGCCTGGATGTTGATCCTTGCAGGAAGAGTTAGACTCCCTGGGTTCTGGACAGATTGCTTGGATTGTAGCTTGTGCTAGCTGGGAATTATGGGAGTTGGAGTGCAAGGCATCTGGAAGGACCCGCAGGCAGAAGATGGTTGGACGGGGCATAGGATTGCAGGGTCAGAGAACAACCCGGGAGCAAGGCCTTTTAACTCGGGGGATGCCCAGATACTCATGCAGAGGATTTTCCTGCATGTTGGGATCTAGCTCAGTTGATTTTTCCCCAACAGATTGAAGATCGAAAAGACAGCGATGATGAGAAGTCCGACCGAAACAAACCATGGTGGAAGAAACGTTTTGTTTCAGCTATGCCCAAAGGTGAAGCATTTAATTGTTTCCTTCCTTCCTTCCTTCCTTCCTTCCTTCCTTCCTTCCTTCCTTCCTTCCTT